CTAGTGCTCCCTGACAGGAGACGTACTTCTGAAGAGGTAAGACAGACTCCTGTATTTAAAAGCAGTTCTGGTATGAATGGCAACTGAGAAACCAGTACCATTGATTTAAATGTGCACAAAGTACAGAATCCACCACTTTTTCAGAATAGTTGGACAGAAATAGATCAAAAGTATATATATTCAACACTGAGAGAAATCAGGAAATTGTGTATGGATAAAACAAATGGCTTAAGTTGTTGGGGAACAGGTTGTTGTACAGTTGGTACCTTTGTAAGTACACTAGTGCTCCCTGACAGTCAAAGGGCATCTTAAGAGATAAGGCATTTTTTTGTGAAAGTCTTAGTTGGTATTTAGGGGCAGTTGTTGATTTATTTGCTCATTAATGAGCTCAGATACCCATCCCTCCCATCTATACTGCCTGTGTAGTATTTGTCTGGCATTGCACTGTAGTAGGCGGGTTTTGATTGCAATTCTGACAATCCTACATGTCTTGTTATTTAATAGTGCTAACTATAATAATACTTATTATATTATTAGTATAATATTGTTGTGCTTCTTGACAGGAAAGAGCACATGAAGAGGTAAAAAAAAAAAACTTTAGCACAATGCAGAAATTGATTTAATAGCGTCATTATTATTATTGTTATTTATCATCTAGGTTGTAATTATCTAATCAAGATCAAGTCCAATCTTGGTATATTTCAGCTATTCTGAAATAGCGTAACTTTTCCTCTTTTAGGTTTGCATATTCAGCAGAAAACGTTAAAACGTGACATAAAATGAAGATTTAATCCATGAAAATGTATCTGCACTATAACAGCAGCTCGCATGGTGTCACTGCTTGTAAACTGAACGACTCTCGGTTGAACGTCCTTTACGTCAGTAGTTTGGTTCCGTTTCGCGACGGGGTGCACTTGTGCATTAGGGCGATGGCTTCGCTTCTTGGACTCCCTTACAGACACCCTTTCTAATATCCCGCAGTTGTTTTTTTGTATTAATTTATTTGTTTGTTTGTTTTTTTTATCGAAATGCGTGCTACGGTGTAGACTCACATTTTGATGACAAACCAACCTGCTCGTTTTGATTTGTTTCTTTTTAATTCACGATGGCACGACGAGGACGCAGCGCGTGGCTGCAGCGCCTGATTGTCCTTATTGTCTCTTTGGGTCTTACTTTTAATTTTACTTCGGCACAGCTGCGATACTCTATTCCCGAGGAGCTCACAGTGGGTTCTGCTGTTGGGAATATCGCGAAGGATTTAGGGCTGGATGTCGGTGCATTGAATGCGAGAGGATTTCGCATCGTTTCTGGATCCACTGAACCCCTGTTTCAACTCAACAACAATGGCATCTTACACGTTAACCGGAAAATAGACCGAGAAGAGGTGTGCGAACGGACAACTACGTGCATTATTAACATAAAGACAGTGCTGGAGAATCCTTTAGAGGTGCACTACGTCGGCATTGAGGTTTTAGATGTAAATGATCACTCTCCCACCTTCTCAGACAACGAGACGCATTTGGAGATCTCGGAATCTGCTTTACCTGGTGCGCGCTTTCAGCTACAAGGCGCCCGCGATCCAGACAGCGACATGTTTTCTATTCAGCTGTATAAGCTCAGTCAAAATGACCACTTTCGTTTGGAGGTTAAAGATAGAGGCGAGGATGGCAAAATCCCTGTTTTGTATTTGCATAAAGCGCTAGACAAAGAAGCTGCAAGAAGTCATAGATTATTGTTGACAGCTGTTGATGGAGGAAAGCCTGCCAGATCAGGAACAATGGGAATTATCGTTAATGTTTTGGATGTGAATGACAATATGCCAGTATTTGTCAGAGACTCATATACTGCTGTACTTAAAGAGAATTCGCCCGTTGGCACAACTATCATACAAGTGAATGCCACCGATTTAGACGATGGTTTAAATGGGGAGGTGGTTTATTCGTTTGGGAATAATGTAAATCACAAATTACGTAAACTTTTTGAGGTTGATGCAAATACAGGTGAAATTATTGTCAAAGGACTCATAGATTTTGAAGCAAAAGACAGATATGAGCTTGATATTAAAGCTTCTGATAAAGGTTTAGTCCCACTGGAAACAGAAAAAAGTGTTGTAATAACTATTGTAGACCTGAATGACAACTCACCTGAGATTGAGGTGACATCCTTTTCTAGTGCAATTCCAGAAGACGCCAAATCTGGAACGACAGTCGCATTGATAAGTGTAAATGATAATGATTCAGGAGTAAATGGAAAGGTCATATGTTACATAAGCGAGGATGTACCCTTCACTTTAACACCTTCTTTACAAGAAAATATGTATTCAGTAGTGACCAAATCTTTGCTGGATAGAGAGCATCAGTCCAAGTATGATGTAACAATAGTTGCAAAAGATGCAGGTGAACAATCCTTGTCATCTCAGAGAACTATAAGTGTTACAGTATCAGATGTGAACGACAACAGTCCAGAGTTTTTGACAAATCCGTATACTTTTTATGTCACTGAGAATAATGTCGCAGGAGCCTCTTTATTTTCTGTGAGTGCTTATGATTGTGATGACGGTGATAATGCTGTCATATCATATCATATTGTAAGAAATGGTGACGAACACAAAAAGTTGACATCTTTTCTAAACAT